CTCCAGCCTCCCTCTCCTCTGGAGCCAATAGCCATCCCTCCATTCCCAAACATGAATTGAGGGCCAACCAGTTCTAGTCCCTGGAGATAAAACAATGAACAAAACAAAGCCCCCAGCCTGTGGGAGCTCGAGTTCTAGGGGAGGAAGACAGACAAGAGACAAGAGAAATAAATGATGTGTACAGTATGATAGATGGTGACGAGTACTACGGAGAAAAGTAAATGGGAAAGGAGGACAGGCAACACCTGGGGGAGGGGGTTCTGCAGTTTCAGATGTCACACCAGAGATGGCCTCGCTGTGAAGCTGACATTTGGACAAAGAATTGAGGAAGGTAAGGGAGGGAGCCATGCAGATATCTGGAGGAAGAGCTTTCCAGGCGGAAGGAAGAGCAGAGGCAAAGGCCCGGGGGTGGCTGTGTATTCCCAGAGGAGCATAGAGCCAGGGTGGCTGTGGTGTGGGGGGTGAGGGGAGATGTGGCAGGAGATTATCTCAGAGGGGTGATTGGGTGGGCAGCATGGGCAAATTATCTAGGGCTTTGTAGGCCATTTTAAGTCTTAGCTTTTACTCTGATAGGGCAGGGAACCATTCCAGGGTTCTGAGCAGAGGAGTGACATGGTCTGACCTGGCATTTGGGTGGGAAAGAGATTTCAGCCAGCAAGGGTAGAAGCAGAGACCTCTTAGAAGGACAGACATGATGGGCCTCAGACTGAGGCAGGAGATGGATGGGCTCCAGGCTAGACTAGCCTCCTGTTCACACTTCCCGGGGTGAGAAGAAGATGGGCTCCAGGCCGGACATTCATTCCCAGCCCCCCGTTTACATTCCCTGAAGCAAGAGACAAATGGGCTCCAGGACTACATAGTTATGACCAGACTCCTGTCTATATGTATGTATATATATGTATATATATATATATATATTTTTTTTTTTTTTTCGGTACGCGGGCCTCTCACTGTTGTGGCCTCTCCCGTTGCGGAGCACGGATCTTCCCGGACCGGGGCACGAACCCGTGTCCCCTGCATCGGCAGGCGGACTCTCAACCACTGCGCCACCAGGGAAGCTCTCCCATCTATATTTTGAGATCTGCACCTTGATATAAAAACCAGCAACAGAAATAGGGTAAATAACCGGATTTTGGACATTTTTATGGCAGGGACAGAGAGGGGCTAAACCCTGTTAAAAGGTCAAGAGGTCATACATTTCCCATCCTTGGGGCAATGGAAACATTGCACATGCACAGAAATGCTCCTTGGGGGTCAAAAAGGAGGGTGCACCACCCCATAATATGTGACGCTAAGGCTGTCCCATAGGCCTCTGGGCTGGAATCCATTTTGTTAAAAAGTTGCGCATGCATGTTGGGGAGGACCCTAGGGCAGGGCAGGTGTGGAAAAAGAAACAAGATGATTGGCCAAATGTAAACAAAGACCCGGAAGAACTGCCCTGTATGAATGACAACCGCTTCTTTACTACGCTCCTCATTAGAGAGGATGCCCACACCCTTTCTCTCCAGGTGTGCATCTCTGCCTTGCTTATGTCTTAACTGAACAAACTGTTTCTCTGTGTGCTCTCCCACTTGTTGTTGTGCTATGTCTCTGATGATAAACTTTGACCGGTTTCCACAGTTTTGCCTCCGTGGGAAATGCATTTTTCACTGGGGGCAAGAGCCAGGGGGCGTGGTGGCTGGGATTCCTGGTTTTCATCCCGGCTACCCAGGTTCAATTCCTGGGCAGGGAATTAAGATCTCGCTTCACGCCACCACTCACTGCCGCCTCTCTGAGCTCAAGACCAGGGTGATGAGCAGTAGTGGCGGGTGAGAAGTGATTGGATTCTTCTGTCTCGGAGGTAGGGCCAATAGGATGTGGGTGTGAGAGAGGAGGTGGGGATGTCGGCTAGGGTATCCCGGTGGTGGAAGGATGGATTTGACACGGAGGAACAGGAAGGGGAGGAGTATGCAGTATAGGGGTGAACGTGCGCATAACATTTAGCGTTTTACCTCCAGCTACGTGTCAGTGCTTACTTGCCTCTGGACCTTTGCACACACTGGTCTCTTTGCCTAAACTTCTTTTCCTGCCCTGACAGAACTCCAGCTGGCTTCTCAAGAATCCCTCCTGTGAATCTGTCCCTTCGTTCCTCCCCCTCCACCCCAGTCTCTCCCTCTGTCTGCTTTGTGCACCTGCAGGACCTCAGGCATATCTCAGAGCCTTTACCATATTGCGCCCCGGAAGACAGGACCAAGTGCCATCACACTGAAAACCCGTGTTCATCAGACACCTCGTACCTCAGCGTCCTGCACGTAGCAGGCGCTCAAGAAGAGAGGGACGTGGGGCCTGGCTTGAACCCTGGCTCTGCTATTTACAGGTTCTGTGATCTTGGGCCATTACTGATGCAGAGCCTCAGTTTCTGCATCGGTCAAATGGGTGTGATGTTTCCCCTCCCTGCAGCAGCTCTTAGGATCTTGCGAGGACCCCGAATTCTGCAGACCGGAAGAAAACCGTGGTTATCGCGTCTTCTGCTGGAAGATGGCAGACTCCGCAAGCGCTCCTCCTCCTTCCCCCGCTTTGCAGGGAAGGAAGCAGAAGTCAGAGGCAGCTGCGACGTGAGCGGGACCCGCGGACAACCCAATACTTCCAATGCCCGGTACTCACGTGTCCCCGCTTAACCCTCACCGCGGCTCTGTGGAAGAGGTTAGACTAGACCCATTTTACCGAGCACCTACTTGTCCCAGGGCTTCTTACTCGTTGCCACTTCCCCCCATCCCCCTCTTTTAAGGAGAGGAAAGGTGGAAAGGAGGCCGGGTCGTGGTGAGGAAAGAAAAGATGGGGAGACTCGGAGAGTGCTCGGGTGACCCGGAGGATTCTCAGGAAGCCCTAAGGACCAGATCCGATCCATCCACAATGGAGCTGGGACTGTGTGGATCCCGGTCACCGCTCAGCGCCCGATTCAGTTTGGGGAGATCTCTGGGGAAATCTCCCCGGGCTCGGTTTCCTCGGCTGTGAAATGGGCACGATAACCTCTTCCCTGCGCCCCTCGCGGGGCTGCGGGTTTCAGGCATGACCTACGGGGCTGTGAAAGCACCTCGCCAAGCGCGTGCTACGATGGCCACCAGGGGGCGCGAGAGGCTCCTGCTGGACCGCGACCCCCCAGATCCAATCCCGCCGTGGGCCGGGGCTTCAGGACCAGACAGGCAGGCTGAGGCCCCTCTGGGCCCCGGTCTCCTTTTCTGGGAGGGGCACGTAGCCTCCCTTCTCTGAGCCTGTATAAGATGATTATAATAGTATTTCCCTGGACGGTCCTGCCCTGTAAATAATCCCAGATTACAAAGCATTTTCCCCTCCATCATGTCACTTCCCTCCACAACCCCTGGGAGGTGGCCTAATACCACCTTCAATCACTGATGACAAGACTCAAGCCTAGAGCGGAGCCACCAGGCCAAGGTCACCCTGGGAAACAAACATGGATGTCACCTGGTGCCTCTCAGCCCTTCTCTGACTGCTCAGCAGCCTCTCACTGGGAGGGTCCCCCAAGCTCTGCTACAGGGGACAGACTCTGCAAACTGTAAGCGCTGGGTCTGAGGGCTGGTGAAGGAGAAACAGCTTCACAATGAAACCCCAAGGCGCTGTGGGCAGAGACGCCAGAGGGTATCACGTGAGCACAGGTGTGATGTCGGGAACCAGCACAGCTTGTTTTGGGGAGGAGGGAGAGGCTAACATCACAAACAGGAAAATCCCCAAACCTATGAAGTCAGGATGCCAAATGAAAGCCTTTTCTCCTGCAGCGACAATTCAATACCATACAAACAACATGTTAACATTTTCTTCTAGAGATACTGTTGACCCTCATTTTCCTATAATCCTGTAAGGGAATCTGATTTTTACCATCATCCTGTCCCCAGGACTGAAATTCCACCATTAGAGAGTCATTCTTAGGATAAAGGTATCTTCCTAGGTTAGGAGGCAAGGAAATTGCTGTCCGCCATTCACACCCTAGAGGGGCATTGCCTCACCACGGCCAGCTCAGAGCCAGTAGGCCTGGCTGGAGCACAGAGTACGGGAAAGGGACAGAGGCACTCAGGGAGACCAGGCCTGGGGATAGACCCAATCCTGTGAGTTGCTATTATTATCCCCATTGTAGAGAGGAGGAAAACTGAGGCACAGGAGGTAACTTGACCAAGACCACACTGCACCATAATAGAGGAACCAGAACCCAAGCCCAGGCAGTCTGTCCAGCCACCAGAGCCTGCACGTTTAACCCTTGTGCTACAGTTAGGCAGTATCACCCAGTGGCAGTACTGTGGACCCACGGCCTCTGGGTTCAAATCCCAGCTGCTCTGCCTTTTCTAGCTGCGTGACCTTGGGCAAGTTACTTGTTTGTGTCTTCATTTGTAAAGTAGGGGTAGTAATACCTGCCTCACGGGGTTCCTTAAATGAGTTAATATGTGTCACATGTTTAGAACAGAGCCATGCGTGCAGCCACGGTCAAATAAATAGGGGCCAGATGGGCACATGACCTTGAATTGTCTAGAATTCTTCAGGATTCTAAAATGCCAGCCTGTGGGACCCTGTGGGATCCTCCAGTGGCATTCTGAGGTCTTTGAGCTGCAGCATTGTATCTGCTTCCCGTGGCTGGACGGTGCGGGGCCACCTGTCAGCCCAGCTTGGCCCCAAATAGGCAAATGAGGTGATGTCAAAGCCTTGGCTGAGGCCCAGCCCCTGGAACCTCCCCTTCCTTCCCTCGTGTCTCCCTCACTCGGATTCCCACACACTCTGGAGGGCCCAGAGGGAAGGTAAGAGGGAGTGAAGGTGGGAGCACGTGGCCACCCAAGCGTAGCTCCTCCAGCCTGGAGAACTGGTGCTCCCAGGGGCTGAGCTGGACCCAAAGGGAGCCTCCTTCCCTCTTACCTGAAGCCCTGATCTGCAGCAATCCCAGAGCGTCACTCCTCCGGTGTGAGTGTGTGCAGACGGCTGGCTGGTTCATTGGCGCCCCTCCGCGGGTGGTGCACAGGCCAGGCCTGGCCAGGCAGCGATGGCTGATGAGAAGACCTTCCGCATCGGCTTCATCATGCTGGGGCTCTTCCTGCTGGCCCTCGGCACATTCCTCATGAGCCACGACCGGCCCCAGGTCTACGGCACCTTCTACACCGTGGGCGGTGTCATGGTGATCGGGGGTGTCATCTGGAGCATGTGCCAGTGCTACCCCAAGGTAGGTGGTAGTGGAGACAGGTGGCCTGGGGGCCAGGGCCCAGGAGGGCCTGGGGCTGTGCCTCTGTTCCAGGCATCAATCCCCCATCCTTCAATCATCTTGTTATCCTTTCCCCTTTACCCCTTCTTTTCTTATCTCCACTCTCCTGAGCATCTATCCATCCATCCATCCATCCATCCATCTATCCCTTATCATAGAGATTGATCAGGAGCCCCCTGGATCTGGAGCCCTGAACTAGGCACAATGGGGGGGACGCAGTAAAACCCACCACACAGTCCAGGTGCTTGAAACCAGAGTTTATGAGGGCTTGCTGCCTGCCAGGCACGCCTGCATCCCTGGTGCAATTCAGTCCTCATCCTGAACTTTTTGGTACCTTTGACGTTCTAATTTACACTAGAGAAGCCCGAGGCTCAGAAAGTGAGGTCCCACAGCTCCTAAGTGTCAGGCTTGGGATCAGAGCTCAGATGTGTGTTGCCTAAAGCATAACCCTCCACCTTGGGAGGGCGATCCCTGTGTCCCAGGGCTGCTGAGTGTTCTGGGTGGGTCAGCTGTAACCTTGATGGCCTGGGTTAGGCAGCTCTATCTTTTGAAGTTTTAACGGACTCCTAGCCTAATAAGTGACTTAGTGATGGGAAGAACACTGGTTTGGGAATCTTGAGTTCTAGTTCTAGCTCTGCTCCAAACTCTCTGTGTGACCTTTATCTTTCTGAGCCTCAGTTTCTTTCATCTGCAAAATGAGGCCCCGAGCTCCTATTTCTCCCAGCCTCACCAGAGTTATTATGGAGAACAGAAAAGAGATGGGCAGTTTTGTAAACTGTAGAGTGTTATATTTAGGTGAAGCGCTGCCACCCTTACTGTTAGTGATCCTCTCAACAACCCTGTGAAATGGGCATATCAGGAGTTGTAATCCTTCAGTGCCCAGAGAGGTTGAGTGACTTCTCCAAGGTCACAGCAGCTGGTCAGATAGACCCAGGGAGACAAGGAAAGAAGCATGGATTCTAACTTGGGCTCTGCCTCTAACTACCTGGGAGACTTTGGTCAAGCCCCTTCCCTCTCTGAGCCTCAGTTTCCACATTTGTAGAACATGTGAGTCAGGAAGAGGGGGCGGCAAAGAGTGTGCATCTTAAGGGCCTTGC